ATCCCTTTTTGATCCAGGAATTTATAAAATTAGAATTAATTTTACATCTGATAGAGATTTGTGAAGTAGTCACTTATAATTCAAAGCTGATTTAGGTGAAGGGCAATTTATAGTACTTTCTTCATTAAGCATAATGCACGCATTATGTTTTCCTGCCTTTAGTTGAAGTCCTGTTTGAAATATTTCCTCTTTATTTTTTAACAACTTTATGTGGCATGCAAATGAAGAGAGGTTTGAAAGAAACAGCCCACTTAGTGTAATCTCTGAGGCAACTTTTATTACTTTGAGGAATGAGAGCCTTTAGAACACTGACACAGAGATCTGTTGGAGGTGATTTGGAAGTTGGTATGGGCTAAAAGGCTCCCCCCATCAAAGCTGAGGCAGGAGGGTTGCTGCCAGTTGGAGGCCAGCCTGGTCTACACAGCGAGACCCTGTCTTAAACAAAACAAACAAGATAAATGCTTCTGGAGATCAAGATAAGCATGGTGACTGCTTAATGTTACTGTCCCACACCTGTAATCCCAGTGCTTGGGAGGCTGAGGCAGGAGGATCACCAGGAGTTCAAGGTCAGCCTGAACTACATAGTGAGACCCTATCTAAAAAATGCAGAAAAATGGAAAAAAAAATACTGTATTGAATATTTAAAATCTACAGAGACAGTAGATCTCAAGTGTTGTCAACACACATACACAGGTAACTATTTGAGATAATGGATATTAGTCAGCTTGATTTTAGAAATCATTTCACAGTGTATATATCAAAACTCATCTTGTACATCTTGAATATATCCAATATTTGCCAGTTATACTTTAATGGGGCTTTTTTATTTGTTTGAGACTGGTTCTCGCTATGTAGTTTAGGCTGGCCTTGAACTCACTGTGTAGCCGAGGGTACCCTGAAATGTATGGCAATCCTCCTGCCTCAGCCTCCCGAGTGCTGGGATTCCAGGTGTGTGCCTCCACATGCCATCTAGTAGTAGAACTGTAATACCCCACAAACATTCTCCTTCCAGGTAGGCTGGTCGCTGCCTGACGGCTCAGGGCATCTTTTTTTGGGGGGGTACCAGGGATGGAACTCTGGTCCTTGCTCTTGTGAGGCAGTTGGCGGAATCACTGAGTTAAGTCCCCGGCCCTGGCTCAGGACATTTTAACCTGCCCCCCACCCCCGCCCCTTTAAGCGATTCTGCCTTTTGAAAGGAGACCTCGCTGCTTGGAGCGGGTCCTATTAAGAGCCTTGAATCAGGAGGGGAATTAAATGTTAATTTCAAGCGAGTCACTAAATGCATACTTCAAAGCTAATGTATTTTAAAGCTTTTGTATTTTGAGTTCAACGAGAAAAGCCTCCGAAATAGGCATTTCAACCACTTGAAAGATTTTCTGCAGGAGAAATGGTTGAATGTCAGTGGAGAGAGATTACTTAGAGTCTCTTGTGTTCAGAGCAGGTCCCCATCATGGAGTCCTTAGAGGCGGGGTACAAGGCCCCCCCACCCCCAGCTCCACTTGCTGGCTCCGGACTGGTGAGACGTATGGCCAACTATTGCAGATGGTCAGGAGGATCGCCTCAAGTTCAAGGCCCGCCTGCACTAGGGCGAGACCCTGTCTCAAAAACAAAAGAACTAAAACAAGAAAGAGTAGATAGTCCAGAACCGCCCTGCACAAGCATGTTAAGGCCCTTCTATGTGCCAGGACTCTGTCTCGATTTGGGGCTCCAAGCCTTGCAGGTTGGTGAGGGACGCCGCTTGGTTGCTGGTTTTAATGACAATTCTGAGCACACATTAGTGGAGCACGTAAATGAGCTGGTCTGCGATGTCCCCATGCATGAGGTGTCATGTCACACGTCATCACTGTCACCTCCCTCACTCCCCCTAAATGCACCTCTTGTACTTTCAGTCATCTTTGCTACTTTTATTATTTTTATTTTTCGCTTCCATACATGAGAAAAAACATGTTGCCTTAGTCACTTTCTCACGGTTGAGACACAATCCCTGACACCCCGACTCTAAGGAGGAGAGGTTTATTGAGCTCACAGTTTGTAGTGGTTTCTGCCCAGGGCGACCGGAAGCAGGGACAGATCAAGGGAGGGGCGGGAGAGGGACCCTTCCAGGCCACGCCCCCAGCGACCCCCCTCGTCCAATGAGGCTCCAGCTCCTAACCCACAGCCCATCGCGGGCCAATCCACGGAGGAGGGTCACGCCCTCTTGAGCCGCTCGCCTCTAGACAGTCCAAAGCGCAGAAGGCTTTGGGGACATCTAGATGGCCTTCGGTCCCCAAGATGCCCTGACACCGCCTCCTCTGGCTGAGTACCGCGCCATCCTGTGCACTGCCCAGGTTCCTCCCGCCCGCCGTGCCGCTTCACATTCCTGGCTACTGTGAACAGCGCCCGGCGGCCCTGCGCACGCACACTCTGCATCCTGTGGCCGTGTACCTAGCAGGGCTGCAGCTGAGCTGCCTGGAGGTTCTGGTAGTTTTTAAGGGACTGCCGTACTGTTTTCTAGAAGTGTACCGGTTCCTTTTTCACCTCATCTTGGCCAGCATGGTTTTTGTTTTTTTTTTTAAATGATAAAATGCTGGTACTGTTTTTTTTTTTTTTTTTTTTTTTGAGACAAGGTCTGACTATGTGGTCCAGGCTGGCCTTGACCTCACTAGGTAGTATAGCCTGGTCTCGAACTTGGAGTGATCCTCCTGCCTCAGCCTCCCAAGTGCTGGGATCACGCGAACGTGCCACCAAGCCCGGCTCTTCTGTTCTGTTGAATGTGTCCTTGGCCGCGGCTTCAGCCCCGTGCTTCCCGGTGGAAATGCTGCTGTTTCCATTAACCCTTCCCTGGGTCCGGCTCAGGAGGTCGGAGGTCTGGAAGTCGGCACTCTGCTCTTCCCGAAAGCCGGGCCCACGGAAGGTGCCCTGTGTATGTTGGGGCTGAAATGGTGTGTTTGTTTGGAGGGGGGCGGATTCATACCTGAACAGGGGCTGACACTGGATGTTAGCATGAGCTGTATACGACATTCCAACTATAGACTAATGTCATTTAGAAGGAAGCTATGAACATCTTAAAGTATTAGAATGTCCATTTAATGGCATTAAAGGATAATTGATCATGGCTGGATAGTGTTGTCCTGGGAATTAAACCAATTGACATATCACATTGATTGAATAAACAAAAACCCCGTATCACTGTCAGCTCAATAGACAGCCTGCAGTATCCACAACCTGGTGCTCACAGTCTCCTGACAAACTAGAAAGAGACTTGTCTTTTGAGACAGGGTCTCGCTATGTAGCCCAGGCTGGCCTCGAACTTGTGGCGATCCTTCTGCCTCAGCCTCCTGGGTGCCCGGGATTACAGGAGTGTGCCCCACACCTGGCTGGTCGTTTGTTCTCTTTGCAGGACACATATCCATGTAGCTGAAGAGCCCAAATGTACACTGAGGTATCCAGTGAGAAGCGGCTCTCCCTGCCCCACCCCCAGCTGCCCAATTGTGCCCCAACACCACTGGTATTAGTTTTGGGTGTGAACTTGCAGAAATTTTTTGTCTCTGTGTATTGCAGCAAATTGAAATATGTCTTCCTTCTGTCTCCAAGTCCCTGTCACCTACTCATCTTGTGCCCAGCCCAGTCTGACTTCCTGGATTTTTTTTTGTTTTGTTTTTTTGTTTTTTATTTTGGTACCGGGGATTGAACTCAGGTCCTTGCACTTGCAAGGCAGGACACCGAACCGCTGAGCTAAATCCCCGGCCCTGACTTCCTGGATTCTTACAGCATGTAGAAGCTCCCTGTCTGTGAGGTTGAACTCCCAGAGGTGACTATGGCCCTGTCCACTCTGGGAACAGATTCCCTTCCTGCCTCACAGCCGCCTTCCCCTCTCTGGGTGCTTGTGTGGGCATTTGTGCTGCTGGCCACCTTGGAGGGCCTTCAGGCTCCCAAGGCAATGAGGACACCAATTTGATGGACCCACCTGGCATGTGCGTATAGTTAGGGTAAAAAACCAACGGCCACGCTAGGTGAGGTGGTGCGTGCCTGTTATCCCAGCACTCAGGAGGCTGAGGCAGGAGGATCGCCGAGAGTTGAAGGCCAGCCTGGGCTACATAGTTATAGGCCAGCCTAATGAGACCCTATCTAAAAAATCAAAACAAAATTATTTTTGAGCAGGGTCTTGCTAAATTGCTAACTTGCCCATTTTTTTTTAGTAGTAGTAAAGTTTATTTGAAAAAGTAAAAGTGAAGAATGAGGGAGAAACTGGCTCTGTAGAGCGAGCTTGGGCTGAGAAGAGGAGGAGGAAAACCATGATAGACTAACTTGCCCATTGTGGGCTGCAACTTTTACTCTTCCTGCCCCAGTTTCTCAGCGTGTTGGGAATAGAGGCGTATGGCCCCACACCAAGCTTTTCTTCTTTTCTTTCTATCTTTTCTTTTTCTTTGTGATGCTGAGGATGGATGGAACCCAGAGCCTCGTGCATTCTACACCCCAGCCCCATTTATTCCATCTTAAAATTGGATGACTTAGACTAATATTTTTACCCCCCCTTTTTTTTTTTGGATTTTTGAGACAGGGTCTCACTATGTAGTTGAGACTGACCTGGAACTCACTATGTATTCCAGGCTGGTCTGAACTCACAGGGATTCTCCTGCCTCAGCCTCCCGAGTGCTGGGATTATAGGCGTGCGCCACCACGCCCAGCTTGATTAATGTTATTTTTAAATCTACTGTTATGTTTTTCACTTTTTAATTTTATGAGTTCCCCTTTGCAGTACATAATGATGCATTCATCATGAGGAGCCTGGTGTGGTGGTGCAGGTCTGTAATCCCAGCACTCAGTAGGCTGAGGCAAGAGAATCACCAGGAATCCACAACCAGCCTAGGCTGCCTAGTGAGTTCAAGGCCAGCCTGGACTGCATAGTGAGATCCTGTCTTAAAAAACCCAAAGCAAACAAACAACCCAAATACGTTCAACGTGGGGCGTCAGTTTCATGTACCTCTGTATTCTTTCCACAAAACCTTCCCCTCCCCAGAATCCGCTGAATTTGTCAGTCAATACCCAACAAGGACAGCGGTGTCTGTCTGGGAAGTTCTTTATTGACGGAAACAGGACCGGGTCATCCGATTGTAAGGAACTCAGCCGGAGGCAGTGTGGCTTCTACAGAAGCTGCACGAAGTCCCTGGCCTGCTCGTTGGATCCATCTTTACTGGGAGATCTTTGTTACGAACACTTGGAATTCTTGGAAACTGACTTCTCCGTCACCATTCTTGTCCAGTTCTTTGAAGAGATTATCTAAGGTGCTTTGGCCCTGGTTTCAGAGACAGGATGAAATCAGATACTGCTACCTGTTTTCTTTTTGAGACAGGGTCTTGCTGTGTCATGCAGGCTGACCTGGAACTCACTCTGTAGCCCAGGCTGGCCTCAGACTCACAGCAACCCTCCTGCCTCAGCCTCTCGAGTGCTGGATCACAAGTGTGTGCCACCCTGCCCTACGAAGCTGCTTTCCTTAATGAGCTTCCACGGAGTGCTTGGGCCTAGCACCTAGAGCCTGGCATTAGCGGTGTTCAGGGTGTGCAGGACTCTGCTGCTTCCGCCTGCTGCAGCTTGGCCATGAGACTGGGCCCAGACACCCCTGAGCACTGAGAGGGTCACAGAGGTGGCCGAGCCCTGCTGTCCCCCGCCCTCCTGCTGGCTGCCATGCCCACCTTGAGCAGACTGGGGAATTCAGCCTGGACCAGCAGCTTCAGCTCCTCCTTGGACAGCTGGTCCGGGTCACCTTCTTTGGCCGCATATTTTTCAAAAATCCTCTTGAGTTCCTCGGGAGATTTTTTAGCAGCCATGGCGGAGTCCTGGAAACTGAGAGAAACATGAGCCTCCCCAAAGGCTCCCGCACAGGAAGAGAGAGCACTGGACGTTTTCAGCAGAGTCCTTCCGGCACTGGCCTAGCAAGCTCATGCCCTGGTTTCCTCCCCGCGCCGGCAGAGACCTGCTTAGATGGTAGTTAAACGCCTCTGGTGCACACCTGCTAGCAGACAGCCCCTGAGGGTGGACACCACCCTTAGTAATTGCATCTGCTCGCTAGGCTGCAGCGTCAGAGCAGACCTGCCCACGGGTGATCCGGTAAGGGCCCCAACCCACTCTCTTCCCAGCCTTGGGTCCTTCCCTGCTTTCTGAAAAGGAGCCAAGATTGCTGAGTAGGAGCTGCTCTGACCCCACTGACCTGCTGGGCGATAGTCAGCAGCGTGAGCTGCCGGGAGGGCCAGGAGCTTTTATAGTCCGCAGACACACCGCCCCGACTGGGGAATTTCCTTCTGTTTGCCATTTAAGGGTAATTATTAACGGTTTTGGTTTTCGAAACCCCAGCTTAAGAGTACACGAACCTCTTAATTAAGGGCAAGAGCCACTAAAGGGCCACTCACGGGTGTCCGTGGTCCAGAGTCCCAGGAGCGAGTGTGGCGGTGTCTGCCAGACAGGACCGCAGCCTGTACACGATCGCTTCCCACTCAAAGACCAGCTTTCTTCCTATCTAGGAGAAAGTGCTGTCACGGAAGGACGCTATGACCTAGCTTTTGAAACGACAGCCTGGCCCTTGAAGTCCTCTGGAGTAAGGGTTTGAACACAGGGATAAGTGAATGGCAGGACCGTGAAGGAGACAGACACTGTCATGAAGGGTTTTACTGGGCAGAGCAAGACTGTGAACATGGACGTTTTTCAACATTTTGCTTATTTGTTGTTCCATGTCTGCCCTTTCTCAGTATCCTTTTTTGTTGTTGTTTGGGTTTGGTATGGTTTTTACTTTGGAGACAGGGTCTCACTACGTAATTCGGGCTTTAAACTCACTGTGTAGCCCAGGCTGGCCTCGAACTCGAGGTGATCCTCCTGCCTCAGCCTCCCGAGTGCTGAGATGATGGACGTGCGCCACCACGCCTGGCTTACATTATCCTTTTTCAGACCCATTGTATTTTTTGAATCATTCTAAAAAACCTGTGAAAACAGTTGGCTCACACTTATATAATTGCAAATATTTCCAACTTTTTGAAATTCCCAGGATTTAAACTTGGACACAAAATTGATCTCTGTTGGCAAGAGTTTCATGAAATAACTAGGACAGCTGGGCATGGTGGTACACACCTGTAATCTCAGCACCCAGGAGGCTGAAGCAGGAGGATCCTTGAGATTTTCAAGCCAGCCTGAACTATAGAGTGGGACCTTGTGTCAAAAAGCAAAACAGCAACAAAATAACTAGGAGTTTCCCAGGGGACGTGGAGCTAGTGGTGATTCCAGGACGACTTGGACAGCACTACACAGCTCTGAAATGCTTTTCCAGTTCCACACTTAGGTGAGGCTCTCTGGCATGCCTTAGACCATCTCCGAGCTGAGGCTTGCTCAGTCAGGCTGTCTTCCTCTTTGTGTTGTGGGGTCGTGTCCAGGCTGCTGCTGGTGGATTTTTTTTTTTTTTTT